AAAAAAAAAAAAAAAAAAAAAAAAAAAAAGCACTACAAGCCAAGAGAGTATGAGACAGGTTTTAACCATTATCACCAAGATACCTTAATACTGAGAATGGACAAGAACCTAAGGATGATGTAGCACATACCCCCATTTTGCAGATGGGAAAGTTTAGGCAGGTTGAGCACTCCAGCCAATGTAACCAAGCGTGCCAAACATTCGAGCCTGGACTAGAATTCAGCTCTGACTCTGAACTTAGCTTGAAGAGACAGGCACTGAGCACCCAGGAGAAAGACATGAAAAAAACCAATAAGCAAGCAAGCAAAGTCAAGTTTAAAAAGAAAAACTGAGAAGTAGAATTCAAGCTATGCATTTTAAGAATCACTAATCTTCGGGGCGCCTGGGTGGCTCAGTCGGTTAAGCATCTGACTTTGGCTCAGGTCATGATCTCGCGGTTCATGAGTTCAAGCCCCGCGTCGGGCTCTGTGCTGACAGCTCAGAGCCTGGAGCCTGTTTCAGATTCTGTGTCTCCTTCTCTCTCTCTGACCCTCTGCTGTTCATGCTCTGTCTCTGTCTCAAAAATAAACATTTAAAAAAAAAAAAAAAGAATCACTAATCTTCACATTTTGAAAAGGCTTCCAATTATGCTATATATTCTAGTTGCCCACATCTCATCTGTTACTGCTGTTAGCTTTCCTATGTATCAAGTTATGTCAAGGAATGCTACGAAAACATGCATGCCTACAGGACCAGAGAAACATGCAACACCCTACTCTCTTGGTTCAGGAAAATGAGTGTGGGTTTGCTCACACAAAATCTGCCTGGGCTGTCACTGCACTTTCTCCACGTACCAGCATTCAATCACCCGTTAGTGAGCCACAGTGGCCGTAGAACAGATGTTGTATTGTATTAACCGCTTCCTCGGGTGAAAACAACGGGAAAGCAGGACACGGACAACATCCAGAACTCAGGCTCACGTTTTAATATTTCTCCCCAAACAATTTACTCCCACCCCTACCCCATTCATCCTAAACTGGAGCCCTTCTGCAAGTGACAAACAGATTATGTTTAAATCCATCTAATTAACATCAATGCCAGGCACATAGTAAGCGCTCAAGAAATGTTGAAGGCGTCGTTGGGTGTTGTGGGCTTTTTGTACTTTGCACTATTTTCTCATTTTTTTTTTCCAGTGGGCATATATTACATTCATAATCCCAAAGATACGACACTACTTTAAAAATGTCTATTTAAGCCATCATGTTTATAAATCAATGGGGGCCTTAAGCCTAAGCAAGCTGAAAGGCTGTAGAAGACAGAAGACCTCTTTAGTGGGGGAAAGCACATGAAAATAAGCCAGTTTAATCAAATGCCAGAGTCACGACTCTACCTCTGACAACAGAGAAACAGCACCTCGTCTGTGTTCAGCGACAGAAGCGCAGCAGGATGTCAGGCACGGCTCTACAACAGTGACATTATTTAAGCACACACGAAAGCACATTCTGTTTCCCTTCTTACCTTGCGGCAGCAGCCAGGAGATTTTTTGCATTGGGGGCTCCTGGATCTACAGAGAGAGATTTGGCAGCTAACAACAGCTTGCTGGATGCCATAGAGATATTCTTGAGGTTTCCAATCACTTGGATCTGGTCTTCTTTTGTCTGGAAAGTCAAAAGGAGGCAGAGTAATTAGGGACTGTCCATTTCTCCCGGGAGGCATTCAGAGAGCCAGGAGTACCATGTTCGAATGGAAGCAAGTTATGGAGACCGCATGTAGCCCGGTGAGTCTGCAGAGGCCTGAATGGTCGAGACGGTGCCCAGTGTCTACTGTCCCCCAAACAGATACCCTGACCAAGATGCACGCAACAGGACAGAAATCCAGCCCCAACTGGGTCAGCAGAGAGCTGTGCTGTCTCACAAGGGCAGGCATTAAAAGCGGGGGAGGGAAGGAGAGAGAGGGAGAGAGAGCACATGCACACCAGCGCACAGACCAGGCCAGGATTCCAGCATCCCGCTCAACAATGCTGGAGTTGTCGAGCAGCTCGTACATCTCGGCCTGGCACAAACGAGTGCCACTGTCTAGATATTCAGAGCTGACCGCAGCCTAGAAGTTCCTGACTTGAGAGAAGTCTCATTTCTCACCTGGCTTACTTACCACCCGAGAAATAACCATTTGTAGATAACACAGCAAGCAACACCCCTGGGTGTCTCCTCTAGGCAGTTCACAGGAGCTCAAGAAAAAACAGCTTTGCAAGCTGACACCAGACCAGTCATGTCCCCTTGTTCTGAACAAGGGTTTTATCTGTTCATCTCAAGGAGGTAATTTTTAATCATTCGACACTTAGCATCAGACACAATCTCCTCAAATGGGCCCAGTGAACCTCAAACACAAGATTTCTCACCATATTATACGACCTATGAAGCACAGGACACAGAGCTGCCCTCCCTGCAAAAAGCAGAAATAAACCATGAACGCTGCTGCGTGATCGTGGGAAAAGTTATCCATCATCTCTAAGAAGCATTTCACACATAAGCTAATAGCATCTTTAGGAATGCCAGGCCTGTGAGGTCACAGTTTCCTAAGCAGCAGAGAGAACACATCGGTGTGGTCTGCTGACAGGTTCCCTATTCCTGTTTGTCCAGCGGGCCCTCAAGGGTGAACAGTCCGTCAGAGGATGGGCGAGGGTCAACCCCAGTCCGCCACCGCCACACTCACCTGAGCCTGGCCTGCCATCTCAATGCCAGCATCCAGGAATTCATCGAAATCATCACTGAACTTCCCAGAGGCTGCGGCCAGCTCTCCGCTCTGGCCCCGGGTGGCATGGACCACTTCCCCAGCAGACTGGTTCAGATCAGCTGCAGCTTGGTTCAGTTCACTCTGGGCCTCCTGGAAAGGCTTCGTGCTTGGAGGTAACTGCAGGGGGAAGAAAGGCATGCTCCATAAGAAGTTTTACTTTGCGTGGTGGAAATAAGGAAGGCGCCATGGAGGGAAGGAGGGCTCTCCAGGGATGCATTTCTGAGTCACCTAAACGAAAAGGCTCTGGTCTGAGCCCACCTATGTGAAGTATGACCTGAAACATACCAACGTTATTTCATTCACTGAAATTTACTTGAACACCTAGTCAATGCTAGACACAGTGGATTCGAATATGGTCTATCCTCAGGGGCTGTGGTCTCCTGAGTAGCAGAGCCAGGACTGACACGTGGGCAATCAGACTCCAGGATCCATGCTCTGAACCATCACTCTATTTCGGATGGAGCCTCTCAAAGCTTTAGCTTTCTAGAACACAAAAGCAGATGCTGTATTAAACCTCAAATCCTATTCTTCCAAACTAATAGCCACCAATTAGTAACCTTTGCTAACACAGCTTTTACGTGGACCAGAAGCATCACTGGCGGAATTGCCCTAAGTTCCAGAGAGGTTAGGGCTAGGCTCTATTAGTCACATTGCATACGCGGCTTGCATAGCTGGTATGTGCCAGGCACCCGGCAGAGAAGGGATGGATGAACCAAAGGCCCCCACTGACAGGGGTGCCCAAAACAGCAAACAGGCTCCAAGATGCAGTTCCTTAGACAACTTGCTTTCTCAGTGAGTTCTGGACACACATGTCCCTCCACCACCTGCCTGTGACTGCCTGTGATGTCCTGATAACAAGTCAGATGATCACATACCCACCTTTCCTGTTTTCACCGGGAGGATACAAGAGCAAACAGCAACAAGGACTCAAAGCAAAAGTCAACTTGAAAAGCTCTGCCTGGGAACTTTGCTCATGGAAAAGCCAAACAAGGAAAGGCAAATTGAGAGGAAAAACAGGACTCCTAAAATGGAGGTTAGCTGCTCTGAGACCCCATGGAAAGGAGAAGACTCCTCTCACACCTACGGTGAGCCCAGTCCCCCAGGTGCCCCTTCTCAATGCAAAAACCTCTCACCGAGTCCACAAGCAGCTTCTTGCTGGACTCGCCAATGCTCTTCAAGGCCACGTCCACATCCTTCTGGCCAGGGAGACAATTCACGCAGTTATTCAAGGAGTGCGAGACGGCTTTGGCCACCTGAATACACGGAGGGAGAAAAGGTCTGTAAGAGAGTAGTTTCAGTGCAAACACTTGTGCAGATGTGCTGGGAACCAGCAGTGACAGTGCGCAGAGCTGAAAAGGATCGGAAAATTATCTGCCAGCATCCAGCTGACACTGTTTACCATTAAATCACCTCTTCTAGGCCTCTCACTGGGGTTAACATCCTGTCTTGGCAAAGGGTCTGACACGCTGATATAGTACATCTCGTGCGCACCCCATCACCAAACACAATGACTCAGACACAGAACTCTCTAATATTACATCAGGTTCTACCACAAAGATATCCACTACCAAAAGAAACACAAAGAGCCCCCTTCCTGAGAGCCCTGTGGAGGCCACCAAAGTGGAAGGAGGCCTTGAATTCTTTGGGTCGCAGGCAGGCCTGTGGCTGATTTCTCTCTGTGACACACAGGTGCCATCACCCCCACACCTCACCCTGCTCAAGGGCAGGCGGGATGCTCTGAGCACTTCAGACTTGAACTTGGAGCTGCCCTCATGCTGCCTCTTTAGGATGTCCAAGGACTTGCTGTATGTACTGTTCTGTATCCTTAGGCAAAGGGTAAGGTTTTTGGAAGTGGGCTGTGTCGTGTCTTTTAACCTAAACCATCTTCCCAGTTTCCTGTCTAGAACTTTGCCTAGATGGTCTCTAGCCCACAGGTTTCATTAGGCAGGCAAAGACTCATCCGAAGAGGCAATAAAGGGAGTATAAAACTTTGAGCGGACCCACTAAGTGGACCTACCTCACTTCCCGGACTAGGAAGAGGAATGTATTTAAGCACACCTGGGCCCCAAGCAAACAAGCCGCACGTCCTGGCTCCCGAAGTTCCAAGGACAGATTTCAATAAAGGCCCCCGTGCTCTCTGTTAACTCAGTCGAGCAGATCTCATATGACGGGGGCTACCAGACCAAAGTTAAAAAGTGGGTATCGCATAAGGCCAGCATGGTTATACTACTTGGGAAGGTCTTGAAAACACCCATCATTGAGCAATGTTCACACCCGGAAAAGAGTGACCACCTTAGCGATGACCGCAATTGCCAATTCCAGGGCCTCACCTGGGCTAGTCTCTGCTGACTCTCAGCATCTCCAGGTGCAATCAGGGCCTGCTTGGCTTCCTGGATGAGCATGGCTGAGCCCTCCATCACGTCACGGGCTGAATCTAGCATGGCATGCGTAGCTGCAGGGTCGCTGGTGGATGCGGCCACTCCACGGGCAGCCTGGGCCAGCGTTTTCAGAGCTTGGGCTGTCTCTCTTGCAGCCACCCCTAGGGATCAAATGCCACCAGACTTTCTGTTAGACTCCATCTAAAAGCCATACTTTATTTGAAAGTCAGCCTCTAGACCACAGCTTCCTAGAAAGGAGAAGACCCTCTGACAGTGTGTGGTCCAGGTGGGCTCCAAGTCACTTTTTATGAAATGTGAATTGCTATGCTTCTCGAAGGAGCAGCCCATACCACCGGCTCTGGGCCAATCCAAGAGACATGTTGTAACAAGTGGCAGGCTAACAACGATTTTTCTCTGGTTCCCATCACACACTCTGCTGTGCGTGTCCACGGACCTGTAACGCCAAGTGCATGGGATCAAGTACACAGATGGACCACTCAGATGCACTTTTCTTCCCAGTTGTTTTTTATCAGGGCATGACTTAGATACAATCAAGTGAGCACTCCACATGTGCAGCTCAGTGAATTTTTACGTATGTTTACAGCTACGTAGCCACAATGCAGATGGAGACAGAGCATTTCCATCACCTGTCCCCTTCCTCGGTCAATAACCTCTCACACTAGAAATGATCACTCTTCTAGTTAGGCTAGTTTTATCTGTTCTTCAATCCCCTGTTGATGGAACCACCAGTATGCTGTGTCTGGTTTATTTCTCTGCCAGAATGCTAGGAGTTTCATCCATGCCGTTATATTCATTCCTCTGACTTGATATGTAGTATTTCATTGTACCAATTCACCATTTGTTTATCCTCTCTTCCGTGGGTGGACATTTGGACTGGTGTTTAGGGATACTATGAATTAAGCTACCAAGAAAGTTCTTGTAACTTTCCTGCATTTCTTTCATGTATGTAAGTGGACATAGGGAATCATTTCTCTTGGATATAACCTTGGAGCAGAATTACTGTGTCTTAGAGGAAGTTTAGCTTTAGAGGACACCACAAAACCTTTTCAGAATGGTTTTACTATGACGCACTCCACCAGCAATGTATGAGAGTTCCAGTTGCCCTACATCCTAGGCAAAACTTGCTATTGTCAGATTTTTTATTTTAGCCATTCTGGTGGGCATATGATCGTAGCTCACTGCGGTTTAACTTTTATATCCCTAAGAAGTAATGATGTTGAGTATTTTTTCATACACTTAGTGGCCATCTGTATATCTTCCTTTGGGAAGTGCCTGTTCGTCTTTATTTATTTTTTACTAATTTTTATTTTTCATTAATATTTTTTAAATGTTTATTTATTTAAATAACGAGAGACAGAGACAGAGAGACACAGAGAGTGAGCAGGGAAGGGGAAAAGAGAGAAGGAGACACAGAGTTCGAAGCAGGCTCCAGGCTCTGAGCTTTAAGCTATCAGCACAGAGCTTGATGAGGGTCTCGAGCTTATAAGCTGTGAGATCATAACCTGAGCCAAAGTTGGACGTTTAACTGACTGAACCACTCAGGCACCCCTGCCTGTTCATCTTTAAACTCGCTTCTAAGGATGATGGGATGTGCAGATCAACTATGAATATAAACTAGTTGTTAAAAATTATAGCACCATCTGCCATAAAATGGACACGAACGTTCCTACGTGGCACTGAGGGCCTGGCATAGCCGAGCAGAAGATGAAGGCTAAAGTGCCAGAGCATGTAACAAGAGAATCTGGACACCCTGAGAAATGCAGAAGAACCCACCTTAAAGCAGATCTCACCCAACTCCTTCATAGAGGAGGTCTAGCACTGAGGGGTATTTTGTCTGTGACACACTTTCAGAGGCAGTGCCGGGGCTAGATCTGAGGATTCTTAAGCTTCTGGGTCAGACTCTCTGCACAGTGCTCTTTGGGGTAGAGAACTAGGAGGGATTCTTGCTGGAACATACACCATCTGCGTGAAACTGACACACACCAATTTCTCTTGCGCTCAGCTTCGAGGTGACGATTGTCTAAAGCTTCAGCGGGACGGTCTCTGGGCGCCTCTGAAGGGGGCCTTTACCAGCCGTGGCTTCTGCTGCATCAGCAGAAGCAGCAGGTGGTCGTCTCCTTATGGAGGATGAGGCGCCATAATACAGTAATGTGCGAGGCCCTGCATCCATAAAACAAGGCAACTTTGCAGCACGGCAGACTTGCGAATCTGTAAATATTTAGTAAGTCACACAGCTGGGACATAACTCTACAATCTAATCAGGGCAAATTACAAAGCTGCCAATCCACCGTTTATCACCCGGCACTTCTGAATGCAACGTGCGGTATGAAAGAATTTTAAACAAAGTGTTTTTTGTTTTTTTTTTATGGCAAAGGGGAAGCCCAGAAGAGAAAACACAAAGATAAATAAAGCGAACGTGAAGGAGAGAAACAAGCGGAGTGGAACAGTCAATTCCTTTTTATGTTTAAGCTTCTGGCACAGGGTTGAAGGATGCCCTTGCTCACAAAGGCACCAGATGTGGTTAAGGCCTCATCCACCTCTGGCTCTGCAGCTGATTACCTGTGTGGCCTAGACTGCTGCCTTTTCCCTCAGGGCCTCGGTTTCCCACCAGTTTTAGGAGGCTGAGATCACTGCTCTGTTGAAAATTCCAGGCTGTGGGGTGCCTGGGTGGCGCAGTTGGTTAAGCGTCCGACTTCAGCCAGGTCACGATCTCGCGGTCCGTGAGTTCGAGCCCCGCGTCAGGCTCTGGGCTGATGGCTCAGAGCCTGGAGCCTGTTTCTGATTCTGTGTCTCCCCTTCTCTCTGCCCCTCCCCCGTTCATGCTCTGTCTCTCTCTGTCCCAAAAAAATAAATAAACGTTAAAAAAAAAAAAAATTAAAAAAAAAAAAATTCCAGGCTGTGATTTCTCGACATCTCCCCTTGTCTTCCCATTTATTATATAGTCTCCTGAGTCCATTTCTATTTGAGCTGTACACGACTTTGAGAGAATGAAACATTTATCACGTACAATTAGAAAAGTCACATTTATGCAAAAATCATTTACTGAAAAACCTTTTATAGACCCAGACATTTTTTTTTAAAAAGGCAGAAACCAGAGGAGCTGAATGCCAAGAGCTTAGGCTAGTCTATCCCATGTGTTTTCTGCTGAGGAATCACTATGAAATCTCGAGGCACCTCAGGGATCCTCTTAGGAGGAATCAGGTTTCCAAGGAAGAGGAAGCTACACCATCAAAGGAATGGAACAAGAGGCCAGGAGCCCGATGAACATCTATGGCTACGTACGGCTTAGTTCACAGCAACATTCTCGATGGTAATGATGACATTCATCAGGGTCAGGTCTGCAGGCAAATACCACCCTCCGAACAAAAATGTTCATATAGTCCAGGGTACATTACACAGCCAGAATTGCCAGTGGGCAACACAAAAGCAGACTGCAGTCTCAACGACCACAACACTTTGAAGACACAAATTGTTTTTATGGTATTCTTGCTATCTGGATCTTAAATTACGTTCAGGAACAAGCATTAAGAAGATTCCTCAGTGATCAGCGATGCAGTGAAATTCTCTGTAATGGCAGCCACCGCTGATTAGAATTCACATAGGTTGTGTGTAGACAGCAGTAGATGACATAGCAAACTCACAGGGCAAAAACCTGGTATGCCACAGGTTTTTACTCTGTCATACAGGATCTGAAAAGAGGTCTATATGCCATCATATTCAGCCAAGCAGAAATGTGGTTTGGATACATTTGGATACCAGCCCAACAAAAACACATCTGTGTTAGAATCTAGCCCAGCAGCAGCTGAGACCCAGGGAGACGCTGTCCACACGTACGTTCTCTCTCCTTCCTTACCAGCCATTTTCGAACTTACGAGGACTTGCCTCCAACAAGAAGAGTGACCCTGTTTTTCCCAGAGCCAATGGATGCTTCCCATAAGCCTCTCTCTCAGGCAACTTTCTGGGTAGCAACTACCTCTCTGGCTCTAGACACCTCCCTTTCTCCAGGTTTTCTTGCTCTTTCCAAGGCTGCACATTCTCACTTCTTTCAAACATCTCCTTTGCTGCTTAGCCTTCTTCTTGTTAAATATTTGCGTTATCCAGAGTTACCTGTGATAATTTTTCTTGCTCTACCACTCCCTCTCGGCAAACTTGTTCATACTTCTTCAGTTTCAATTGTTATCATTGTATTCAACAGTTAAGAAACATCGTCTCCAGTTGAAACTTCTCTACTGAGTTTCAAAGGCAAATATCTAGCTGCCTAATGGGCACCTTGACCTGGAGATGCTTCAAACTGAATACATCTATAGTTGAATCTGGAATCCCTGAACTCCAGCCCACCATGCCTGCCCATGGCCCTGTGCTTCATTCAGCTCTCAGGCCAAACACTTGAGTGTCCATGTTGTTTTCCTTACTTCCATCCCTGCCAGTCCCTGACCAGTCAACCAACAGCTGTCAGGTCTCTTTTTCTTTAATTCATCTGTTCATTTCTTCTGCAGGCCACCCCCATCTCTCAGGTGGATGAATGCAGCAGCATTCACCCTAGTCTTCCTGCCTACAACTTTGTTTCCCTCACTTTATCTGCATAGGAGAGGAAGGGCAACCTATTTAAAAGGCAATCTAAACTCTTCACTGTCTTCACATGCTCTTAAGTTTTAAATTATTTAAGGTGGCTTACGAGGCTCTTTAGGAGCTGACCCAGTCTCCCTTTCCATCCTTAAGTTTTTACTCCTCTCCTGCTTGCCTTTTGCCTGAACCCTCCTCAAGGTCACTTGGTCAGTCTTTTCTCTTCCCTTTGAGACTTGATACACACTGTTCCCATCCCCCCCAACCACCCATTCAGCGCCTGCCAAAACTAAATGGTGCTACTTCCAGGCTATTTTCACACACAGACTAGACAGTCTGTCATCCTAGATGTTATCAGTATCAAATGATGGAACCTATAAAGGAGTCTTCCCTCCATTAAACAGGCATTTCATCTGTACCAAGCTTGTACAAGCTGTACCAAGCTTGGCAAGATTCCAGAAAGGTGTAGAATTTCTTGAAGCTTGCATCTCCCATGTACCCTATGCCTTGTAAGAATTTATAAATACTTTTCCTTCTCCTTGAACACTAAATGAATGCTAAGCAATCCTTAAAACCC